TGAACATGAATATCAACACTCCCCATCAAGTTGGATTTTATATGTCATACATCCTACACTTGCTGCTTAGATCACTGAAGTGTTGTCAAGGAATAGCCTTGGCAAGAATGTCAACAATTTGATACTGAGTTGGAATATAGATTTGTCGAACAACCCCTCCACTGACCTTCTCAAAGGTGAAGTGTATGTCAATCTCTATATATTTTGTTTGATCACGGTATACCATAATTTTTGAAATACTATAGCTAATTGACTATCATTGAACATCTTAATAGTGTTTTTGTTCTCCATGTAAAGCTCCACCAATAATTTTTTTAGCCACATCCCTTAACAAATTCCTAGCAACAGGCAATGTTTTAAAAGGTGTGGGCTTGGGCGGGGCGTTTTAGTTGTTATGGGGTGAGGCGTAAGCCCTAAGGCGCCGAACGTAAGCCCCATAGTATAAAAAAATAAAGAATATATATTTTAAGGAAAAAAATAAACTAATTATGCAAATCTTAAACATGAAAGAAAAAAAAAATTGCGGTTCACTGTAGTAGCTATAGTGAAATTATTGTAGCTACAGTAACCTCACTGTTGCTACGGTGAAATCATAAACTAAAGACTCATAAAAGCATTAAAAAACACAAAACAATTCACTATATTTGCTACCTCACGGGAGAAGACAACATAGAAACGACGAGGGCGGAAGAACATGATGTGAGAGCCTACATTAGAAGACAACGCATACTAAGACGATGAGTTCAGGAGAACACGATATGAGAGCCTACATGTGAAGATGAAGGCAATGCGAGTGCGAGAGAAGACACAGACAAAGATGACGAGTGCGAGAGAACACGATGCAAGAACCAACGTGAGAAGACGAAGACGATGCGAGTGTGGGAGAGAAGCTCGAAGCAGACGAGCCTGATCCAAGATTGCGTGTGGGATAAAGACGACGAGCCTACCGGGAATAACTGCATGCAGGAGAAGCTAGAATCAGAGGCAGGGCGTAAGCCCCAATAAAACTGTTATGTTCTTTGATCAAAGAAAAAATTGTGGATTCATTACCAAATAAAAGATTAATTAGATGATAAAGTTGGTTCACTGCATATACATTCGATTTAGAATATATTGAAGGAAATAAAAATTTTCTTACTAATATACGAACACGTGAATTATGTAGGAAATAAAAATGGATGATAAAAATATCGATACTTATGATATAACCAGTGAAACTGAAGAAAAATTTAACCCATATAACACCAATTATCTAAAAATTGTTGATCTACAAATAAGAAAATTAGAATGTGAAATTACTTTTAGCAATAATATTCTAAATGAATTATTTCAAATAAAAAAGTATCTCATTGGAGAAATACCAGAGGATGAGTTACCATTTTTATCCGAATTAAAGAAATTTAGATATTTTGCAAATCTCATAATTGTCAGAGAAGAAAATAAAGAAAAAGCTAAAGCTTCTTCTTTAATTACTGAAAATGAACCATCTTCTTCAAAAAATGCTACATATGCGAAAATAGTAGGACACATCTACAAAAAATATTATAGAAATAGTGCAGGAATGACAACAATTATTTTTTTTATGAAGAGAGGGTTAATTCTCAAATTTATTTTCATACAGCTGGAAAATATCAAGTTACTTATATTTATGAAAATACTGATATTAAGTTTGTCTCAGAATTATACAAATGCAGTTTAATCCATATGATATATTTAGAAGAAGATAGACTTCTAAAAGAATTACCAAAATCAATTATTGAAGCGGTGGATACCTTCCACCAAGTAGTCATACATTGGATTTTTTTTTACAAAATTATATCAAACTCATCCTAAGATAAAAGAACGAGTTATTTCCTTAAGACAAATTGGAATTAGCAGTGAACCTTACAACCCGAAACACAAACCTAAAGAAAAATTATTTCTAAAATCAGCAGCTGAAGACTTATACCATATATAGAGTGCGGCAAAGAAAATTGACCATTCAAATATCTGGGTATATTACTGCTCAGAAAAATTATTCATATACAGTCACTATAAGAAGCTGCTAAAAAAATACACGAATTAATGTATAAGAAGTGGATCTCTATTGTCAACAAAAACAACTTAGCTGTCAGCAAAGAAACCAAAGAATTATTTTGTCAGAAATTACAGAAGTAGAAAATTTACAAATGTACGTATTGTCAGAAAAGAGATATTATACAAGGAATACGAAAAAAAACTTGAAGCAATGAATAGTCCGAGTCAGAAGTAAGAAGATAAACATAAAGACGTACTAATCAATTATTCTTCAGCAGCGCACCATCTAAAGTAAAAGAATATTCTAATAATTATTCCGACAAAAGCAGATGGTCACTTATCAATAGAGAATATTCTGAGAATTATTTCGATAAATGCAGATACCAAATTGCTCAGTCAACCTAAAAAGACACTAGCAATTATTCATTTCACTTAACAAATACATAAGCAGTGATGAATATTGCGAGCCCTTCTCGTCTATTTAAAGCTCTTCCTTCTCTTGTTAGAGGCAGCGTGAATTATATCTTCTTTCTTCTTTTTCTCCCTTTGTTTTAATATAATGTCTGTTGGCCACAGCGGCTAAATATTATCTTCCTGCTCAATGTTTGTCAGTTTGTTTTTATTGTACCAATGGTTATTATTATTATTCTGTTGGTTTAATTAAATCTATGTTTTATTTTGTCTTGATTCTTATCTTTTCTAGCTACACATAGGGTAGAAAACGAATTAATGTTGTGCTTTAAATCTCTAAAGTGCTTACATAAGGTTATGGTCTGTTAAAGACCTTGAGGGTCTTGCTGAGCCTTAACTTTCTCTAGAAAATCACAGAGAAAAGTGTAAGATGAACCAGAGATTCTAAGGTCGAACCATAGAATAATAAGATATCAAATCAAAACAGGATAACATTATCTTAAACAATCTTTTGGAAGCGTAATGGACCATTATACTTTAAAAATAAAATTGTAGGCATAAGAGTAGGATGAATTTATTAATCATGGAAGAAGAAATAATAAAGTTTGAAATACGATTGAAGAAATTTAAGAAAAGTTTAAAAAAGGAAATTAGAGAAATTGAAAAATTACATAATAGATTAAAAAATACTCTAAATTTAGAAAATTCTCCTGAACTAAAATCATTAAAAATGGGAGAATTTATGAGATAAAATAAAATATACTCATCAGCTTTATATCAGATGACGCTTGCAAACGGAGGCGGAGATGCTTCATAAAATTAATTCAAATTTTCTCATTCATAATTTAACCATAGATCAATTACACTTAAGCATATGAAATTCAATAAAGCCTATACTTTTTTAAGTTAAAATATGTTTTTCTCTTTTAAATGAGGTTATAAACATGTTAAACTTCAAATTTCCTTTATTGTTATAGTTAGATTATGAGTTGTTTGTGAGTAACACCTACACCTTACTAAACAAAAGAACACAAAAAAGACAAAAAATATATTTATAGTCAAAGAGAAAAAGTCCTCAAGAAAGAGCCTTAGAGGCTTCAAAAATATTCAAGAAATAATAGTCAAAACTCCTGGAAACTTCAAAAAAGTCCTTTGTCATCCTAGAAAATTCTATTTATAAATAAATATATGGCATCATAGGCACTATAGAAAGGGCTATAGAATAAACAAGACATGCATAAAATGCAGAAAAATATACAATGCATTTGGCCCTAATAGCAATGATTAAATGCCAGCTTGTGGAAAATAGTTGAGCCTCCTGGTAGAGAGGATTGAATAGGTAGATGGCACGTTTAACTTAATTGATCTATTGGGATTGATGCGAGTACGAGTAAAATCATCCTTGAACACGTAGTAGACTTTTTTTGTAGTTCATCCCACTCGACAGCGGTAAATAAATACTTGAAATTCGGTCAATAAGTCAATACCCAGTCCTTAAAGACTAACCTCTTGTTGCTCTATTGGGCGTGTTAGCCTCTTGAGGTACACGATTACTAATTCGAATCAATGTAAACAATAGTTTATATTTCAATGCACTAAAAATAGATGAACATGTTATTTCCACTTTTGGTCATTGCCCCTTATAAAAGCATGATGGATGCCTATTACAGCAACTCCATTTATGGGCACTGAGGCAACAAGCTTCTCACGATTCTATTCAATTATTGCCAAAAGAGAGTACAACCCAAGAAATGTACTTAATAATTATAATGAAGTTTAAAAAAAATGATTCCATGAGGTGTTATTGAGATGCAAGTCTTGCATGAAAATTGTAAAATATATTTTCTTAGCAATTACATACCATAATCGTCTCAGCAAGATTTATAAAACCTCGTTAGTCATCATGAATTGAGCAGAAAGCTTGTTGACAGTTTAAGAAATACAACTAAAACCCCAACGAATATTGAACTCACTGTCAAGTAGAAGCAACCTAGAGCTATTCAGTCAATATCTTCATCCTAACAGTTAAAGTTCCATAAGCTCCAAGACTATTCACTCCTCTCGCCAAATAAATTTGATCAAAACTAGTCTCCCATGTCACCAAATGTCCAAGAGTTACAAGTTAATTGAGACACTTACTAGATTCTGATATGCAATTTTCACCTATGTTGCTCAAATGTAGCACTTTTTGTCGTACTAAACCTCAACTCAAACTAATAAATAAAAGGTCAGAGGGTGAGCCGGACACATCCAATCAATCAGATCACTCTGCTCATTCTGCTACATTTTGGCAATCCAATAAAATTACAAAATTTTCTCACTCCAAGTTCTATCTCCTCTTTTTTCTCATGTTTTTCGGTCCAGCCTTGTTAATAAGGTATTGATATCATAAAGTCGACTTCAGCAGAAATAACAACAATGAGAGGATTTAGCCGACAACTAATATTTTTGGAGAAGGATAAAGCTGTAGCTTGGCGTAATGGACTTAAATTAGCCACCAACCATAAAGTTGAGTTCAGCGGAAAATCTGAACATGGTTAAATGAAATGCTCATAAACACCACAAAAGCTTACTGCAAATCATTGACCCGCCGAGAAGTCCTCCGCTCCACATTCCTAACCGATAAAGGCTCATCGCCAAGTGAAAACTGCTTAATCTCCACTCTCTGCACATAACTAGGTTTTCGGAGATTATCAATCACCGGCTGAAGAAGCCCTATGATCCAATTCTCAATCCCAGGTCGATAAACTTTCCACAGCTTTCCCAATACCATATTAACCCACTCCACGGACTCCTTCCGCTGCAGATCCTTCTCGAGAAACATCGAGAAGCTAGTTGGCACCTGCGGCCACGTCCCTGCTCGATCCTCCCGAACTGACTTACTCGACCTCCTTGAGGTCCACAGCTTATCAAACATAACCCCAATGAAAAAGAAGAGCACAAAGAAACCCACAATATTCCGATTGATGGGAGGCGAAGGTATCGGATGGATGACCCCAAGCTGCGACCTCAGCTTGTCCACTAGAGGATCCTCCACGTAGCTCGTAAAATTGGCCGATTCCATCCGCACATGCTCGGAGCCTACCGCGGCTGCATCCTCCCTGCAGCCGCCTGGGCCGCCAAGCTCACCGGAGAGTTTCATGCCGACTAACAGCCTCTGCGCCCTGGCGCTCCTCTTCGCCGAACTTAACTGGACGGGATGGACCAAACCGGAGTTCAAATTACCAGTTTTTCTGCACACTGATAAGCATTTCCAACTCCTTCTGCAAGCGTCACTGGATAGAAAGCCAATGAGTACTCTCCTCCTCCGCCTCCGGCGGCTCAGCCGGAAAATTCCGCCGTAACATTCATTACTCAATTTGAAGGGGCAGTCGAGGATTGAGACGCGGGAAACAAAATCCCGCAGCGAGAGCATCGCGGAGGTAATGCATGAAAGGCTAGGAGAAGCGAAGAAGGTGGTTAGTGAAGTCTCTCGTAGTCGGCAGAACAGGCTGACCGGATCTAGGGTAAGGGTCGAACGGAGTAGATAAGAGAAACGAAACAGAGAAGGAAGCACAAGAATTGAAGCGAAGACAATGGGAGGCTGAGGAGGCCATATCGAGCTCTGTGGGTCTCGATATGGGCAACGATTCTTCTGATAAAGCCGACGTTAGGGACGCACGTTAGACCAGCGGAGCGTGTGTTCCGCAATCATAGAAGTTGAGCAGTTCATCGTAAATATTTTATTATAACTATCAATTATTAATAATATTAAATAATTATTTATAACAAAATCTTTTTGAGGCAATTCACAAGGTGATATTAAATTATATATTTAAAATTTGTAACTTTTTGAGGCAATTCACAAGGTGATATTAAATTATTACATATTTAAAATTTGTAGTTTTATTTTATGTTTCAAACATTAAAATTCACTATAAAGCTTAACTCATACTTTTTCATAAAATTTCTAACAATTTTATCATTATAAGTGAAAATGCATTAGTTTGATAATATGATTTTTTAAATTAACATTGGATCCATAAATATATATGATTTGAATTGCAATGATATTTTCTTCCAACTTCTATAGAACTTGTACCTCGTAAATAGCAATTAATTTGTGCATTAAATTTTTTTCAAAGTACAATATAATATGAAATTGCTGCCAAAATTACATAAGAATTAGGGTCTGTTTGGCGCGGCTTTCTCTATGCGTTGCGGCGGAAGGCCGCAGAAATAACTTGTTTAGCGCGGTGTTTCCTTCCGACGGCCGCGAGATCAACTCCGAGGCCCCGCTTCGCTCCCGTTGAAATTGCTGCCAAAATTACATAAGAATTAGGGTCCGTTTGGCGCGGCTTTCTCTACGCGTTGCGGTGGGAGGCCGCAGAAATAACTTGTTTGGCGCGGTGTTTCCTTCCGACGGCTGCGAGATCAACCACGAGGCCCCGCTTCACTCCCACGGCCCTGTTTCTCTCTCACGGCCCCGTTTCTCTTCTTCGGCATTTTACCCAGGTGCCCTCCTATTCGTGATTTCGCCTATCGTTCGGCTGCAATCCTTGTTTTGCCTCTTCTTTGCCTTCGTCTTTTCAGCACCGAAAGCTTATCCTGGTTCTTCGTTTCTTCTTCGTCTTTCAACAAGGTTCTCCTTCTTCTTCGTCGTTTCAGCAGTGAAATCTTATCATGGTTCGTCGATCCCGATTCATGCAATCCTCGATCCTTTGGATTCATTATAGCCAAAGATTTTACTGAGAGTTGTAATTGGGTTTGTCTTCTCTTATCTGGCTTCCTATGACTTGACTTCTTTTAAGGAGAACTGCATTTAGATGTTGTTCTTCTTTCCCTCTTCTTCAATCTATTTTGGTGATTAGCATTTTCAATTTATGACTTTTATGATACTTTTAATGCTTTTGATTCATCTAAGAAATTCTATGAAGTATTGTGGCTTATGAAAAACCTACTGGAATGCTTTCATTTAAATTTAGAAAATGGACTGTTGGAATGAATCGGAAATATCTTTAACATGTAATCTTCCTTAATTATCAAACATGAATTCATAACTGTAACATATTGATATGTCAACCTTTGAACCAAGAAGATGAGTTTCTCCCTCATTGTACAATGCTGACATGGAATTCGACGTCAATGACTACTTCTACATCCTTACACTGACTAGCTTTCATCTATATTTTTTCCTGTTTTGAAGGAGATCCAAGGGCCAAAATTATGATAATTTCTATTGCTTCTCTTGTTGCTCCTTTTGATTAATGGTGTGGTATTTTTTTGTCTTTTCTTCTTTGTTTTGCTTTTTTCTCTTCAGTCGCAATTAAGAAAATATAAGCTCAAGGAATTCCGGGACGTCCAGACGGTTGTTTTGCCACTGTAGCCTCCAAACTTCTCTGCTGATGTCACGGCGGCCGCACAGCTACGAGAGAAAGTTCTATAGCTGCCCATAGAGCATCACAACATAGTTTCGCTTCTTTCGTTGGGTTGACAGTTCAGCGGATTCCCTTGAAGACGGCGATCGGGAGGGGAGAACATCGATCAAAAAAATTCTAGCACGGGAGCTACATCGTCAGAATGTTAAAAATAATATAATCATCTTATTAATTGTCATTGTAATTGTTTTAAACTTTTTTTTTACTTTATTGATATTCACTGTGACGTGAGCTGAATATCTATAATTCTGGATTGTTTTTCTATTCACTGTGACGTGAGCTGAATATCTATAATTCTGGATTGTTTTTCTTTGAACTTTTTCCTTAAAAGTATCAAATTTATGGCTTCTAGATTGGCTAAAAATTATAGAAGTCTATTTTTTAGATTTTTAGCTTGTAAGGTGAATTTCTGCTTCTGTTGTATCATATATAAGACTGTCATTATTCTGTTCCAAACAGTTTAACTAAACAGGGGCAGAATTGTCATTTTTCTAGAAGCAACTGCCCCACATTAACTAAACAGGGGCAGAATTGTCATTTTTCCAGAAGCAACTGCCCCACATATACCCCACATCTGTTTTCACACAGCTGCAACAAACAACCAACCAGCTTCCCCACAGCAGCTTCCTGGGGCAGCGCAGGTGCAGCTGAAAAGCTGGAAAGCTGCAACTGCACCACACAGAGCCTTAGATTCATCCAATTTTTATGTTTGAATCTAGTAAGAAAAATCAAAGCTATTAAAACTATTAATTCTATTTAAATTTCTTCTTATTCACTAGATAGTAGAGCTTTATATTTTTTCTTAAAATAATAATGATCATGTTTAATGCGGAATTCAATTTCAATATTTTGTCCAAAACTTTCAAAGCTAATTTCCAAAAAAATTTTAGATTCTTGCTCTAATTACGCCTAACATGTTAAGAAAGAGTGCATATAAGTCGAGTAAAAAGTATGATAAATCATAATATAATGTATATTAAAAATATGACCACATGAATCTCAAGAAATTTCAACGGACCACACAAAGAAGATACCAAAAACTGCATTGGAATAGCCGAAAGGCGGGAGTCTAGTGTCATTTCATTCGGTTGAATCATTTGCCTAACGAAGGAAAGTATATCCAAAAAAAGAAAAATTGAGTGTCTGATTTGAGGGACAGCCACATATAATCAGCTCCCCATACCAATTATTGGATCCCTTGTAAATAAAATCGATGGACGCTCCTTAAAACGCCTTCTTAACCCACTATGAAGACCACTTGTCTCAAAGAATGTTGCTCATCAGATTCCTGTGACTCACCCTCTGTCTAATCATCTAAGTTGATCTCAATGATAAGGTCTCTCTCAAAAAAGCTGTTTGAAGACCTTCCATTCAACCAAATGACTTTCGATCGACTGAATGATTATCAGACGATCGAATGCTAACAATTGTTGAATTTTAATATACTCTTCAAAGAGTTATTAATATGAAATAATACAAATGTCGGTTACAAAATTAAAAAATTCCAGAGTAAATTAGAAAAATACAAAGGTGTAATGTTACATTAATCATTTATAACGTTCCATTTAAATAGGGACAAATATGTAATTTACTAGAAACATCTATAATCTATAAATAGAGAGTCGTTTCTTTAAGAAGGAACGATTGGACTTCTTCCTAAAAAAACCTATGTTATTGTGTACTATACTTTTCTTTTTATTCCTTTTGCCCATCTAACACTTTGTTACTTAGGTGTGATTCACAAGATTTGTTTGGATTCAACGTACTAAAAGGTAAAGTGAGCATGGATTCATATCGTTAACAAGAAGATGAGCCTGTCACAGTGAAGGAACCCATTTGCAGAAAACTTCTAACATGGATTCCATTTGAGAGTTTGTGCAAAAATGATCTCAGGAACTCCAAGACCATAGCGAGGCAAACGACAGAACTTACCTGCTTATACACCAAAAATATATGCAATTTTAGACCCATATTTTATACTCATTTTTGCTGATATTGCACTTTAATGGAAGTTATTTTTATGTTATCTTGCAAGTTGTTGATTTTTAGGACTTGAAGCAAAAAGGAAGAAAAAAGAATGAAATTTAGAGTCAAAATAACGTTTTTAAAGAAATGCTCAGAGCCAAAAACGCCAAAAGCAGCGCCGATGGCGCAGACCAACAGAACAAATGGTGAATTTTACTCAGCGCCGACGACGCCAGAAGCAGCGAATTAAATTGAGAAACACTGGCGTCGACGGCACCAGAATGGGCGCCGATAGCGCCAATTTCGGTTCAGCCCCTGTTTCTAGAAGATTCGATGAATTTGGACACTTTTTCAAGAGTTTTTTTAGGCACTTATTGGAGAACCGACTCTAGGCTTTATTTGGGGCCAAAATTGATCAGAAAAGTGACTCTTCTAGACATCTCATCGTCTCACTTCAACCTTCTATGCATCACACATTTTTCCATTTATCATTCCACAACCATTTAGAGTCCATTGTTTTTATAATTTAGAGTTTTGTGGTGAGATTAAGAGTGAATTCTTCTCTAAGAGTGTTGGAGAAGGAGAAAAGTGAGAGATTTCTTCTTCCTACATTTCCTAAAAGAGGCTACAAGGGATTTGCTTTGAGAAAAAGTTTCAGATAAGTATTTTTTGTTTATTAGTATTGTATGAACTTTCTTTTATATATGAAATTTATGTTTTGTTGTATCTTTCTCATGAAGTCTGAGTAGTTTACTTTATCTTTCTCCCTACTCTGAGATATGGTGAAATTAAGAGATAATATGGATGTGCCAATATTAAAATATAAAATAAATTGTGATGATTTTTCAACTCCAAACTTAATTTATTTTGCGATCTAGTCAATTGAATTATTAAAATGTGTTGTAAAATATCTGATCCTGAAAATAAAGTATGAGTGACATTTTATTCCATGAAGGAGAATTTCGTTCAAGAAATTAAGTTCAAATAAGTAGGGAAATATACTTTATTGGGTGTAGAATTGGAAATTTTTTAAGGTGACAGACTAAAATCCTCAATTCAGTCTTAGTGTTTAAAAACTAAAGCGAGAGTTAGCCTTTAGGTGAAGGGAAGTGGGAGCTCTGAAGTGGGAGCCAGTATCCTCCTAGCCTAGCCTCAAATTTGGAGACTAAACTTGAGATTAGCCAAAGTTTTTCTATAGCACTGTATCAGGCTATAGAATTGAAACTGCTCCTATTTGGCACAATATATATTTGAACCATTTATCTTATCTCATTTTACCAAAACCTTATTGTAG